TAATTTTTAAAGTTAATCTGTCCATTTCTGCACAATCCCAAATTTTCCTAATTATGTCATCATCCAGTGGGGTGTTCACATTTTTCCAATATTTAGCATATGTAATTCCAGCTGCTATCAATTTATGTAACACTAAGTAGATGGTTGCTTTGTCATAACTTTCCGACAATATACCTAAGAGGCACGTTTCTGATTTGAACTCAATATGTTGCTCAGTTATTATTTCTAGCCATTTATGAATTTTTTCCCAGTAACTCCTTGCTTTCTTATATGTCTACCACATGTGGTAGTATAATCCTGGAGTCTGGTTGCATTTCCAACAATTGGCGGAGGAGTTCTTATACATTTTAGCCAATCTTGCTGGCGGCAAGTACCACCTGTAAAACGTTTTGTAAAAGTTTTTTTTATATGCCATGGCCATCGTCAGTTTGTAGCTTCTCTCCCAAATTTTTATCCATTTTTCCAATTCTATGTTGTATCTGAAATTCCTTGCCCAGGCAATCATTGTTTCTTTAACTATCTCTTCCTCCATTTTATAGTTCAGTAAATAATTATATATTTTTAAATCAATTTTTCATCTGTTTCCCATTAAAATTTTGTCCAATGCTGTTTGTTCTTTGTTTACACCCCATAATTTAACATCTTTTTCGTGCCTTGCTTTCAGATCTGCAAATACAGCCACCAAGATAAGTCCAACCTATGCTTCTGCAAATTGTTTTCTAGATTTAAGAACCCCCTTTTCATCTAAAATGTCCTTGCAACATACAATTTCCCCCCAATTTATAAGATCTGGACATATTATTGGATCCATTGGAGAGAGCCAGACTAGTACTTCCCTATAGTGTTGTAGTTTAATTTTTTCCCAAATGTCCAGTAACACGTTCCTCACATAATGCCTCTGGGAATATTTGTGCGCCATATTTCTGCCATACCAGAGAAAGGCATGCCAGCCTAATTGTAAATCATGCCTTTCTAGTAATAATAGTCTTCTGTTATTCAAGTTTACCCAATCTTTTAGCCAGGTGAGAGCTGCAGCCTGGTAATATAATTCCCAGTCTGGGAACCCAAAACCACCCTTATTCCTAGAATCCTGTAATACTTTCAATTTTATTCTCAATTTTTCCCTTGCCAAATATATTGCAGTCATTTTATTTAGTTCATCAAAAAAATTCTTTTCTAAGTTTATTGGTATGATTTGAAATAGAAAAAATAGTTTTGGTAGTACATTCATTTTCACCACCGCAATTCTCCCGATCATCGATAACTGTACATTCTTCCACCTTTCCAAATCTATTTTAATTTGTTGTATCAGCTTTGTATAGTTGTCCTCTTTGATTGTCTCACACCTAGCTGTTAAGAAAATACCAAGGTATTTAACCTTTTTTTCTATCTGTAGGTCAATTTTCTCTGTCAATTCCTTTTTCTGTTTGTTGGTGAAATTTTTAACTAATATCAGTTTCTATGGGTTCTTCTAATATAAACACTAAATCATCAGCGAAAGCTTGGAATTTGTACTTTTCATTTCTAATTTCCATTCCTTTTATCTCTGTATCTTTCCTTATGTTCCTTGTCAATACCTCTAATGTTAAAATGAATAATAATGAGAGAGGAGACAACCTTGCCTTGCTCCTTTTTGTATGCTAAAGCTTTCGGTTACATCTCCATTAACCAATACTTTTGTGTTCTGTTGAGTGTAAATTGCTTTAATCATATTCCTAACTTTTCCACCAAATTCCATAAAATTTAATTGTTGCAACATAAATTGCCAATTTATATTGTCAAACGCTTTCTGCGCGTCCAGGAATATTAATGCTAGTTGTTTTTCATAATGTATTTTGTAATATTCTAGTACATCCATGATTATTCTAATATTATTTTTTATTTGACTTTTTGGTAAAAACCCATTCTGATCTGGATAAATAAATTCATTTAAAAAGCTTTTTAATCTTTCCGCAATTATTGATGCGAAGATTTTATAGTCTGCGTTTAGTAACGAAATCGGTCTATAGTTTTTAATTTGAGTTATATCCGAATCTTCTTTGGAGATCAGGGTTATATAGGCCTCTTTCCATGTGTTTGGAATCAGCATGGTATTGGCAAAAGCTCTCCAGACTTTAACATCTTCTAAAATGTCATTAAACAAGGGGAACGCTTGATATCTAGTAAGACTCTAGCAAAATCTAGAGTCTTCAATCTATAATTGAAAAGCACCATCTCTTTTGCCTTACCACAAAGCAAAAGCTGTCTGGGCAGCTAAAGTAAACACACACACACACACACACAAAGTATATTAAAGTTGGTCCTCTCTTACAAGCCATTCATTTGAAATTACAACGTCTTGGAAAAATGTGTCTTATTACCAGTGGTGGGTTCCTCCCGGTTCGGTCCGGTTCGGCCGAGCCGGTAGCGGTGATGATATGACGTCACCGAACCGGTTCTCCCCCCCCCACCCTCCCACCCACCCACGTTATTCTTACCTTTTATTTGGTCCCACCCCCAATCTATTGCTGCCTCTTGAGTCCCAGCTGATGACTAGGGGGAAAAAAACTGTTTACGGGGCTTCAAAGAGCTGTCCTACAGCTGATCAGTGTTAAAAGCAAACAAATGAGTCGGGTCATAAGTGCGAGGACTGGTCGTAAGTGCGAGGACCTTCCAGAAATGACTCTGACCAGCTAGCCACGCCTACCTAGTCACATGACCTCCAAGCCACACCCTCAGAACCGGTAGTAAAAAAATTTAGAACCCACCCCTGCTTATTATTGGTCCTCATACTTATAACTGTTGCATCATTCCCACGCTCAGATGCAAAATTTGGGCATTTGGCAATCAGCATATATTTACAATGGATGCAGAGGCCTGGGGTCACCTGGTTGCCACTTGCGATATTCCCAGACAGCTTCTGACAAGCAGACTCAATAAAGGAAACTAGATTTACCTAACAACCATGTGATTCCCTTAATAACTCCAGCTTTTTGCTTAAGAACCATGGCATAAAAGGTTATAAAATCGCATTCTGTTCATTTAACAACTGCCTTGCTTAGCAATGGAAATTCTGTTTTCATATACCTGTGTAATTCAAGTTAAAACATATCCAGTCAAATTGAGACAAACAAAAATAAAGACACCATATGAACTTGAAACCAGCATGTAAACAATATGGATTAGTATACAATTAGGATACCATTGAAAGGTTTTCAGGTAGTGCTGTTTAATGTGGCACTTCTCTATGGAGAGCATTCTATAAATAGGGTCCCACCAGAGAAAAGAGGTAAGGCTGCTGGACAAGGTGGAACAGTTGGCAGCTTCATGCTGTACATTGCCTGCACTACGCAAAGCAAAGCTACAAGACAGAAGGTGCCAACTTGTCCTCCCCAAGGACCAATAGGAAGCACCAATAGCCTGACATCTGCGAAAAATCAATGCTAAAAATGGCCTAGCAAAGAATTGTTGATTTGTCCTGCTGCTTAATTCATTTCTTGGAAGAAGAAGGAGAAAAAGACATTGCTATGTTTGTATCTAATCTTAACTAATAGAACTGGCACACACAGTAAATCTAACAAGTGCATTGGAGAAGAGCAACAAAGATGATTAAGGGACTGGAGACTAAAATATATAAAGAATGGTTGCTGGAACTGGGTACGTCTAGTCTGATGAAAAGAAGGATTCGGGGTGACATGATAGCAGTGTTCCAATATCTCAGGGGCTGCCACAAAGAAGAGGGACTCAAGCTATTCTCCAAAGCACCTGAGGGCAGGACAAGAAGCAATGGGTGGAAACTAATCAAGGAGAGAAGCAACCTAGAACTAAGGAGAAATTTCCTGACAGAACAATTAATCAGTCAAAAATTAATTCTTAATTATTACAAATTTAGAATGTTATTCTAAAAAAAGAATTAGCAATTCTAAAAGAAAAGTGAACATGTTAACTCGGAAACTTAAAATCTACTGTGAAATCATGGATAAGAGTTTGGATTCAAGGTCTGGATAAATTTTAGACAATCACCATCTCTAATACAAATACAATTCAAGATGGTTGCTATAAAGAAAAAAGAAATGCTATAGTATATTTCTTGAACTCCTGAAGAAAGGAAGGATATAATTGCAATGAATAAGTAAATAATATCAAGATATGATCTACCAGCTTAACTGAATATTTACTACTCATGTTATTCAAGCAGATTTCAAGAAGTTCCTCAGAAAAAATGGGGGCGGGATGCCATGCTAGAAATTCTGAAGGAAAAAGTTGTTCTGGACAGTATTTTTCTCCCATATTTACTAAGAGTCTACCTGAAATGCCCTGAATAAATCAATGTTTTTCCATTAATTGATGATTCTATATGCAATTACACAAGCATCTGCTCACCTAATTAACTGTTCTGGTCTCAGGAGTCTACCTAGTACTTTCACTAACGTAGGTCTGACCCCTTCTGGATCTTTAAAGCTGAGAGAAGTAGGACATATAACCCAGAACAGAACAGTAGCAATTTTACTCCAACCAACAACCACCCTGGACATTTATCGCAACTCCTACTCCTTGGTTCTTAACAACAAAACAAAGTCACCAAGTCATCAAGGTATGATCACCATTCCAAAAGATCTTTGTGATACAAACTAAATGCCTGTAGAGCAGGGGTATCAAATTCGTGGCCCGTATATCAGATGCATCACGGGCTGTCCACCCACACTCCCGTTTTAGCAAAAGAGGAAAAAAAGTTGCAATAAGTCACGTGACAATAACGTGTCATTGCGAGTTTTGACACCCGTGCTGTAGAGCATTAACTGCCTATTTTATACAGCATCCAAACACAGTCATGTGGAAAAGAAAGTCCACTCTCTTTGAGTTCTCTGGTTTTACAAGTCAGGACATAGTAAAAATCGTCTGGTGCTTAGCAGTTCTTAAAAGTTTTTTTTTTTTTAATTTGATTTATATGCCGCCCTTCTCCGGAGACTCAGGGCAGCTTACAATGTGCTCAGCAAAAGTAAATAAAATACAACCTCAGATGAACAGCAACATGATATTATATCATGTCATCATTTATTTTACAAAAGAAAAGCCAAAATGAGAAGCCATGTGTGGAAAAAATACATACTTCTTATAATTCAATAGCTTATAGAATAATTTGAAGTAATAGTTTTCTATATGACTCTCTCATATCATGGTGGAGGAATTTTGGCCCACTCTTCTTTACAACATTGCTTCAGTTCATGGAGGCATGTGGCCATTTGTTTATGCACAACTCTCTTGAAGTTTCTCCACAGCAATTCAATCTGGACTGTGACTGGGCCATTGCAACACCTTGATTCTTTTCATTTTCAATCATTCTGTTGTAGATTTGCTGTGTGCTTGGAATCACTGTCCTTTTGCGTGATCCAATGTCGACCAAACTTTAGCTGTAAGATAGGTGGCCTCACATTTGACTCTAGAATACTTTGGTATGCAGAGAAGTTTATGGTCAAATGAATGACTGTGAGGTGCCCAGGTCCTGTGGCTGCAAAACAAGCATAAATCATCACCTCTCCATCACTGTGCTAGATGGTTAGTACAAGATATTTGTGCTGATATGCTGTGTTTTATTTTCACCAAATGTGGCACTGTGCATTATGGCCAGACACCTTCCCTTTGGTCTCATCTGTCCAAAGGACATTGTTCCAGAAGTCTTTTGATTTGTTCAGATGCAACTTTGCAAACCTAAGCCACGCCACCATGTCATTTTTAGAGAGAAGAGGCTTTCTCCTAACAACCCTTCCAACAAACCATACTTGTTCAGTCTTTTTCTAATTGTACTGTCATGAACTTTAACATTTAACATGATAACTGAGACCTGTAGAGTCTGAGGTGTAACTCTTGCAATTTCAACATCTTGCAATGTTTTGCAATTTCTCTCAGCATTGCACAGTCTGACCTTGGTGTGAATTTGCTAGGATGTCCACTCCACTCCTGGGAAGATTGGAAACTATATTGAAAATTTTCCATTTGTGAATAATCTTCCTCACTATAGAATGATGAATTTTAAATTGTCTGGAAATGGCCTTATAAACCTTCTCAGCAAGCTGGCAGCAATAATTGTTCCTCTATGATCATTGCTGATGAGTTCCTCTTTGACATTGTGTTAAGACACATCTAAACTGCTGGTGCTCAACGAACTCCTAAAACGTCAGCTTTTATAGAGAAAGTCATTTGGTGATGATCAAGGGCGCTTGATTAGCAGCACCTGACTGCTACTTAGCCTATGGAAGCAGTGATGGTTCATACCTATGGAAGCATACCTATCCTAAATCTGACCATTTGATATAGTTAGAACTGAACCTCTTTCCACTACAATGCATAAGAGGCACTGATATTGCAATTCCAAAAATATTGAAAAGAGTATTCTGGCATGGCTTAGATTATTGCTATAGCTATTTTTATAAAGGCTATACAAAACAGAAAAGTGAAGCAGTTGATTGTATTTCTTCTTCCATCCCAAGGCTCCTGTTAAAAGCTATGATATCAAATACTTTAATACTAATAATAATCCTCTAATTACATGCTTTAATAGCTGGTTCATTATGGAAATATGTTCCTGATCTGTTTATTTTCCTTTCTACACTGAAGCTTGATTAAAAGCCTAATAAAGATGATGATAATGCTCTCTTCTATTCCCAGTTATTGCTGGAGCAAGCAACTCTTACATGTAAAGTCTGAGGGAGCTGTAGAGATTCTGAGGGATTCTGAGGAATATAGTGCCAAACGTGGAATTTTCTGTTGCTGAATTCTCTCCCTCACCCATCATACCTGTGGTAGGGAACAGAATTAGCCAAACTAAAATTGACAGCTGAAATCATTTGCAGATCAAACCCCACATACTCCAGGTTTAAAATGGATCCGCTACATAAAACTTCAATTTTTGATATTATACTCATCTCACTTGGCAATACTGAATAAATATATTGGATGATCTCATAAAGTTTGTTTATGTAATACAATTGTTAATGGCCTATATAATACCTTATGTTGTTGCAGAGTTAGGTGTGTGTTGTCATCTAGTGGGACTAAGGTAGCTAGCATGCCTTCTCTGTCACAGCCTCCACAGCTGTGGAAGCCTGGAACAGCCTCCTCCCACAGATACAAACCGCACCCACTCTCCTAGGGTTCTGGAAAGCTCTTAAAACTGGCTTTGGTCCCAGTGCTGTTAATATATTTTGTATTTTTTATTATATTTGTGGGAGGGTGTCTTTATTTTTTTTTAATCCCATCTTTTATTATTTTTATAAATAACTCAAGGCAGCAAACATACCTAATAGTTCTTCCCAGGGGTGAAATCTACTTACCTTCCTTACCGGTTTGGAAGCACACGCGCCGCGTATGCGCAGAAGGTAAAAAAAATTACTTCCTGGTTAAAACCAGGAAGTAATGACACCCGGGCGCTACTGGATCGCCAAACCATAGGGAAAAATTGCTACCGGATCAGGCGATCCGGTCCGATCTGGGAGAATTTCACCCCTGGTTCTTCCTCCTCCTATTTTCTCCATAATAATCCTATGAAGTGGGTTAGGCTGAGAGAGAGACTGGTCCAAAGTCACCCAGCCAGCTTTTATCCCTAATGGGACTAGAACTCACTGTCTGCTGGTTCTTGGCCTGATGCTTTAACCTTTAGACCGAACTTTATGTTGTTTATGATTATTATAGTCTGGGATGTATGTGTGGTTTTATGTTGTATCTGTTTTTATGGATTTTTTAGTTTTATATGCCACCCAAAGTCTGCTGGCAATGCAGTTGAATTTTAAAATACTTTAACCATATATTCTTTCCTAAAGTTAGAAACATTATTAAACCTAAAAAAATTAGGGTCACTTTCGAGCCAAACAAAAATATTATTTATAATCAGTATCAAATGGTTAATTAACATAATTGGGACAGTGGTGGGTTCCTCCCAGTTCAGCCCAGTTCTCCCGAGCCGGTAGTGGTGACGATATGACATCACCGAACCGGTTCTGCCCCCTCCCGCCCGCCCCCCCGCGTTATTCTTACCTTTTATTTGGCCCTACCCCCAATTTATTGCTGCCTCCTGAGTCCCAGCTGATGGCTAGAGGGAAAAACAAACTGTTTAAACTCTTGCCATGGGGCTTCAAAGGGCCGCCCTACAGCTATATTAAGCAATATAGTGGTTTCTGATTCTTTACCTTTCAAATTTGCTTAGATTATATACAATCCCTCATGGATGGAATATTCTGAAAATAAATTACTCTGATGCTTTTATTTAGAAACTTATTTAAATGGTAGTATGCTATTTTGGGTAATATTTACCGATCGACTTGATAACATACCGTAGTAAGGTATAGATTCTAATTCTGACTTATATAAATTATATATTATATTATATTATATTATATTATATTATATTATATTATATTATATTATATTATATTATATTATAGTATATTATATTATATTATATTATATTATATTATATTATTATATTATTATACTGTTATTTCTTAATTCATGAACAATACTATGCTCTCACGAATAGAATAGAATAGAATAGAATAGAATAGAATAGAATAGAATAGAATAGAATAGAATAGAATAGAATAGAATAGAATAGAATAGAATATATGTAGTTCAGGATTGATTTGTGGAGCCCCTGGTTCTCTCTGAGCTTGCTGGTTTGCTTGCAGACATTTCATTACCCAACTAGGTAGCTTCATCAATGCTAGTGAGTTTGGGTTTTGCTTAATGAACAAACCCCACACTCACTAGCACTGATGTTACTTAGTCTGATAATAAATTACCTGTAAGTAAACTATCAAGCTCAGAGAGCTTCAAGGACTCCACATAGTATTCTCTGTAACAATATTTAGAGGATTCTTTACCTTCCCTTGTCACTCTAGATTATCAAATATGTAATCTCAGAACAGACTTTAGCTCAATATTTATTTTTAGTAGAAATTAGTTTTCAGCAATGCAGTCAAAAGTTATTCCAGATTCTCAGAAGATATGGTATATATTTTAAGGTCAACCTGAAAAGAGACATTTAAACAATATAACTATCTATGAACCATTAACCAGGTTCTGTTAATTGGATTATAAAGTGATTTAAAGTATGTGTACAGGAATAAAGACAGTAAATATAAAACTAACTGATGAGGCAACTAAGGGAATGACATGTTATCATTTTCACTTTCCTAACAATGTGATTGTCTTAAATCTTAATAGCATTCAAGTATGCAGATGAGAAGTTTGTTCTCTTGAACCAGACTCTTGATAGGTACAAAAGTAGGAATAATCTTTTTTTGAAGAGAAGGGAAATATTGTCTTTGTGTAAAAGAGACTATTGTTAGTTCCCATCCAGAAAAGCTATCCTTGATTAGGGTGCTTTGATGAATCATTGGCCAATTCCAACCTGTCTTTTAAAGATAAATCACTTAATATAATGTTTTGCTTCAAACATCTTCAAATTATGTATGTCAGGGGTGTCAAACTCATGGTCCAGCGGCCGGATCTGGCCCCGGGGTGCTTAGAACTGGCCCGCTGGCCCAGCCTGGTTCTTCTTTCACCTCTGCCAGTGAAAATGGAGCTCAGGAAGGCTACATGCAGCCGTTTTGAGTTCTGTTTTCGCTGGTAGAGGGTTGCAGGAGTCCGTCGCAATCGAAAACCGAGCTTGGGAGCCTGTTTTCACTGGCAGAGCGCTCAGGCCACCACAGGCGTCCCCCGAGTGACATCAAGCTGGCCACGCCCACCCTGGCCACACCCACCTGGCCTCTCCAAGATCAAACACAACCCTGATGCAGCCCTCAATGAAATCGAGTTTGACACTCCGGATGTAGGTAATTTAAATCTCTCTGTACCTTATTTCAAACCAAGTTGAAACCGTTACAAGGAAACAAGCTACCAAACTCACCATCTGTTAACTGCCTGGTTCAAAAAAACACAACTCATTCTATTCTTGTTGAGTGCTCTTTGGATGCTCGGCTGGGCTTCTAGAAGACGGTTTTTCAGAATACTGCTGATAACTGCCATTATTCTTCAAAAGATATGCCTTATTGGATTCTTCACAGTTCTGATGTTAATATCTAACTAAAGCCATGCTAAAAGAAGTGACTAAGTATATTTTGTTGTTTTTATTCATTCCTGAACAAGTGGCTATGATCAGTATGCATCTGAGTAAGGGGGGGACCATCTAAATGAGGGAAAATTGACTACACTTCAGTAGGAAAAGAGTTCAGCCATTTGGGTAGGATGATATTCTCCTGTAAGGACACAATTTACAATATGTGGGTATTAGTATATCTAATCTTGCTATTGAATTTCCAGGTTGTGTTAGAAACCCAGACTACTCTCTATGATTTGCAAACTAATTTGTTGGCTGTCTGCTGAGCTTCACACTTCAATTACTTTGAAGTTGAATTATCGTAATGCACTCCACATAGGGCTGCTTCTGAAAACTCTTTGGGGTTTAAATGTGTTTCTTAATTTTGTGTTTTATTTTGCTGCATAAATTCATTTTAACTAAAAATAATCTTTATGTCAAGTTTTCAAACTTAAAGATATTGCTTCATCTAACTCAACTGTAGGATAGTTGGTTTAGAAATGCATGCCACTTAATGTAAAACAAATAAATAACAGTAGCTTATTTATGTGTTACAGGTAGTCCTCCACTTACAACAATTCATTTAGTGACCGTTCAAAGGTACAACAGCACTGAAAAATGTGACTTATGTCTGTTTTTCACACTTATGACCATTGCAGCATCCCCATGGTCACATGATCAATATTCGGACACTTGGCAACTGGTTCATATTTACGACGGTTACAGGGATCTTGTGATCAGCTTTTGCGACCTTCTGACAAGCAAAATCAATGGGGAATCCTGATTCACTTGACAACCATGTGACTAACTTAACTGTATTGATTCACTTAACAACTGTGGCAAGAAAGGTTGTAAAGTGAGGCAAAATTCACTTAAATGTCTCACTCAGCAACAAAAATGTAGGGGTCAATTGTGGTCCTAAATTGAGGACTACCTGTATTGGGATGTTCCTACAATATTCCTTTGGGATAGGTCAGGATGAGAAACAATGAGTGGTTTGAAGTTACCAGTGTCAACGGCTAGGGATCTTCCAAATTCTAGTCCAAAATTCCACATTGGCTTACTTTAACCATTATAAAAGACGGAGAAATTAGCAAATGCTTTAACTGGTCCAAGTAAAATATATTATACTATTTGTGCTTTTTATCCTAAGGAAATAACACTGTAGTTTGCAAAGTTTTATCTAGCAACAATCTTTCCTAAGGACTGAGCTGTATAGATGGAATGCTTGGAACTCTAGTTGATTGTTACAAGGTCGTAAAATTGAGGATTCTGTGTCCTTTTCCATCCAGTATGCCTGTAAAAAGAAGTCTGGAAGCTTCCATTTTTAGATTGATCACAGCAAGTTGTGACAATCGCATATTTCTAACTAAAGATCAGTATACAGTACAGTATAAGATTTAGCAAACATATTAAACTGAATTAATATAAAGGGAAGTTTTGAGATCTTACTTGAACTATGTTGGAAGAGAGATGGGACAGAATAAATTTAGGCAAAGGGTCACTGACATTCATTCCCAATACTTCAGATTTGAATTACATTCAAATACAACCTATATAATTTCATAAATAAGTGCAGGTCTGTTTATATGGCTATAAAAAGCTATCTAAAAAGCTACAGATAACATGGACATGTTCTGTACATTTCAATATACTGTATATCATAATTTCAGAATTCAGAAAAGATTATAGGTAGATTGTCTTTGAATCAGAAATGTCCAGCCAGAATTAAAATGTGCTCAAATTTAAAAATATGTTCAAACATTCAATCAAATGGTTGGTCTTCTGGATTGCTCCTACTTGATCCTTAATTCTAATCCTTATATTGCTATTAAGCTTGTCAACTAGAATCAAAAAGGATCTTTATGCTTTAATGCAGATTATAAAATAAAATGTGGTCACTGGGACATGTAATCCATCACAAATGCAGTTATTTCATGGGCAATTTCAGAGTCTGTGGATACCACAGTGAAAAAGGAAGTATGAATGAATATATGGTTTGTCATGGTAGTTAGCATTCAATTGCAGATTTTACTTTTAATCTACCTGTTTTATCCTACTTATTGCTGTCTCTGCTCGTTTGGAGATTTGTAGTTTTAATGGCAATACATACTCTGTGGCAAGCTTTTCTTAACAAATGAGGATGTTCATTAAATTAATGTTCAGTTATGACTGCTATAATTAGGATACTTATTTCAAAGGCAGCACATCTAACTCAAAGATTGTACTCTCAGATGTTCCTCTTCTTATAAAGATGTAATTTGAAGACTTACAGCTTAATATTCATATCTCCATAACATGTACTTCACTGATGTAATGAATGGGCCAAAGACTAGCTCCTGCTAATATTTTATCCACAGATTTATTGTGGGGAATATTTCTTCTCCTTTCTCTCCCTCTTCTTCTTTTTCCTGCTCCACCAGCTTCCCCTGTTAAACTCATATGCATTTCCAGCGCTATCAAAGCAGGGGAGAAATCCAGCAGGTTCTGGAGAACCGGTAGCGGAAATTTTGAGTAGTTCGGAAAACCGACAAATACCACCTCTGGCTGGCCCCAGAGTGGGGTGGGAATAGAGATTTTGCAATATCCTTCCTCCAGGAGTGGGGAGGGAATGGGGATTTTGCAGTATCCTTCCCCTGGAGTGGGGTGGGAATGGAGATTTAGCAGTATCCTTCCCCTGCCACACCTACCAAGCCATGCCCACCAAGCCAGACCATGCCCACCAAGCCACGCCCACAGAACCGGTAGTAAAAAAAAATTGGATTTCACCACTGTATCAAAGTATAGAAGATGCAGTGTAATTCTTGTTGAAAATTCAAGGTAAGTAAACATACACTACTAAATTCCTCAAGAATGACATTAGCAAGACTGAATGAAATATCTGTGTGCAAAATAAGCATAAGAGTTTTATTTGATTCAGGTCACAGCATGTGTCTGCATAGTGTTGGCCGAAATTGCCACTTGCCATATCTGCCACTTCAACTTCTGCTATCTACCTCACTTCTTGGGACACTTTTCCATTGTACATCTTAATGGCCATGTCAACATTTTGAAAGTAAAAATGGTTATGAGCTTATGCACAATTTGATCTTCCAGCAATAGCATTTTTGAAAATAACAACATATTTGTGAAATAAATTCATGTCTGAACATAGTTCTGAGCATGCTGTGGTCCTGTGCAGTTCAGTTCTGTGCATGAAATTCCAGCAATTCAACAAAATTGTATCTTTATGGTGTCATGTCCTAGAGTTTAGAGTAAGAAGAAAAGTGGGCTAAAATTCCTTTCCTAGGAAATTATAGTATTTGTTGGGCTTCAATCACTAATAAACTGCCTGCCTGACAGAATGCCTGTTTTAAACATATCACAATATCTTCTGATATAAAATAAAGTTTTGCCTGCCCAATAACAAAACAGAAGGCTTTATCAGTATACATTATAACTTACAGCCTAAATACAGCCTAAATTCTAACCATTATCAAAATTTAAAGCTCAATTCCTTTCAGAGTTGGCCCCCATGGAAAGGGCGCGCAACTTGGACGTCCTCCTGGATTCATGGCTGTCTTTAGAAGAGCACTTGACGGCCCTGACCGGGAGGATTTTTTATCAGGTTCGCCTGATTCGCCAGTTGCGTCCCTTTCTGGATCGGGACTCCTTACGCATGGTCACTCATGCCATCACCTCCCGCCTGGACTATTGTAACACTCTCTACATGGGGCTCCCCTTGTAACACCCCTCCTGCGCGAGCTGCACTGGCTCCCGGTGGGCTTCCGGGTGGGCTTCAAGGTTTTGGTTACCACCTTTAAAGCGCTCCATGGCTCAGGACCTGGGTACTTACGGGACCACCTACTACCACCAATAGCCTCCCACCGGCCAGTATGCTCTCATAGAGAGGGGCTCCTCCGGGTGCTGTCGGCCAAACAATGTCGACTGGCGGGCCCCAGGGGGAGAGCCTTCTCTGTGGGGGCACCTACTATTTGGAACGAGCTCCCCCGGAGATACGGAGGATCCCGGATCTGCGCACCTTCCACTGCGCGCTAAAGACCTTTTTATTTCACCAGGCGGGCCTGGCCTAACTTTCTCCCTCTTTTTAAAACAATTTTAATTTTAATATTTTAATGTTTTTAATATTTTTAATACTCAAAGTTTAAATTTGTTTTAAATTGATTGGGGTTTTAATCTGTCTGGGCCAAACTATTTAATTCGATTTTATTTCTGCTTTTTAAATTTTGAAAGTATGTATTTTATTGTTGGCTGTTCACCGCCCTGAGTCCTTCAGGAGTAGGGCGGTATACAAATCAAATAAAAGTAAAAAGTAAAGTAAAGAGTTCTATACTTTTTTTAAAAAAACCCTAAAATATCTTAATAGAATGAAAACCACAATTTGGTAAACCTTAATGCAGTGAGCACTTCAAATAACAATACTCTCATTGTATTTATTTTAGTTAAATTAGGTTATTTAGTTATTTACATATAATGTACCTTCATTTTTCAGATTGTGTCATTTGCATCTTACATAAATTTGCATAATGATCTTACAGAAATGACACAAATGGAGGCAAACATAATTTGAGAAATAAAGTTGCTACAGATGACGGACTCTGTGAATAACGGACATTCGGGAATAAAAGGCATTTCTTTCCCCAAATTCATCCATTATGACAAAGTTACACTGCAAGATAGTTTCCGAACTCTGAAATAAAAATCACTCTCTGTTCCACCTCGGGCTTCATTTACACATAACTAATTTACACTAAAGTTATAAGTAATATCCATGATTAGATAAGATTTTGATTTTATTATTTCAACAACCTGGCTTTGATCATATAATCATTCTTCTGTTCTTCTCCCTGACTAAAATTGTGCCTTAGAGATTTGACCGTTATTTAATAATATCTAATTTTTAACTAGTTGGTTGACTAAGCTTGTGATAAATCCTGCCTCTTACCCAGAATGTTAAATAATAAAAAAGCTGTGCACTTCAAATTATCGCTTATTTTCAATACTAACCCCTTTGATGATATCTATTTACAAACGGGTGT